TTAAGTTCAACTATTCACAAAGAGAATATACAAATGTGTAAATTTAAATCCAAAGTGGTATAGAATAAACAAACAGGTTTACTCTTGAATATCTTACAATTAGTATAAGGAGCTTCCCTGGTGGCTCAAATGGTAAAGATCTGCCTACAATGCAAGAGACCTGGGTTCAATCCCTGGGTCAGGAAGACCGCCCCCTGGAGAAAGGAATAGCTACCCACCCCAGTATTCTTGTCTGGAGAATTCCACGGACAGAGGAATATAAAATATAATGAGTATAGAATATTAACTATGCTTATGAAATAAACATTTTATACTTTCCCAAGTAATTTAAGAAAACTGAAAAAAAAAAACCAGATGGACAAAATGAGAAATAGAGGTTTGGCAAGAGTTTTCTCAGCTCATCTGCTTACTAAAAAGAAGAGAAAAGAGGCTAAAAGAACCCATTTAAAGTGGCAGTAACAAGACTGTCACTCTATTGCAGAGAAGCTGCAAAATATGTCTTTAGAAAGGGAAGTTCCAAGAAATGTATGTGTGTGAGATTCAGGACTTCATGGGTTGCTATCAAAGAACTCACAGAAATGAGGGTTTGTGAAAGAGGAGATGCAAGCAGCTGAGGGAATCACAATAAGCACACACTTGAGAAAGAAGCATCTGTGATGGGAAGAGCAGCATGTCCTGGAACCTGCGGGTGGCTCAAGGCTGGAACACAGGCCAGTGATGAGAGTGTCCTGAAGACGCCTTGTAACACTGGAGTAGCTTCAGTTGCCTCCATCCCTTGGAAGAGGGCAAACTTCTTTGGACAAGGTCCAAAATGAAACCACCTTTGTCAAAGTCATATCTAAAGTAAATGGTTCTGTAGCAAATGTTCATTTGAAAATTCACATGTGGAAAATGGTAACATAACATCATGAGGTTAATTTTTTATGAGCTGTTTTCACTGATAGAGACTCTAATTTAAATAGAACAGTAATTCTTTCTTGAAGTAAATCTGGGTGTGCTGGGCTTAATCGCTCAGTCGTGTCTGACTCTGTGCGGCCCTATGGACTATAGCCCGCCAGACTCCTCTCTCCATGGGATTGCCCAGGCAGGATTTCTGGAGTGGGTTGCCATGCCCTCCCTTCAGGATATCTTCCTGACCCAGGGATCGAACCTACATCTCTTACGTCTCCTCAACTGGCAGGCAGATTCTTTCCACTAGCACCACCTGGGAAGCCCTCAGATTTTGAAGCCCTGGAAAAATAAAATTGATATAAAATATGTACTTCTTTCCAAAAGAACCAGTTTTCTTTTAGATACAAAGAAAATCTCGATGAATTTATAAAAGGAGATTCTGAAGAGACTCCACTTTCTAACCACAATTCAATAAAAGAAGTCAATAACAAAGCCAGAACGACTTAGTTATTTTAAAATGCTCTCCTAAATAAGTCTGGATCAGAAAGGAAATAAAAAATAAGACAGACTATTGAAGGAAATCACCAAAAAATAAAAATAACAATCTTGATAGAGTCAAACAGAAATGCTATCAATTTTAACAGAAATAATAAGTGAACTAAGTATTCCATGTAAGAAATTAGAGGAAGAACTTATCCAAAATTGAGTTCTGCTCCTACTTGGAACTTAATCCTTTCCCCTTCTTCACTACCTTCGTAGATGGCATCACATCTACCCTGCTTCAGCATCAAATCTCTGAGACAGTCTTGATCTGCTTTTTTCTAATTTATTGTGACTCAAATTCACCTACTTCCATTGCCACCTCCACATATCAGGGCTACCACTCTCACCTGGATGGATAAAGGCCATGACCTTCTTTTACTCTTGCCCACCCAGGAGCCACTCTCCACACAGTGGCCAAGAGGTTGTTTTGGAAATGTAGATTATATATATCACTGCTATTAAAACTAGTCAATAATTTCCCATTGCATGCAATTAAAATCCAAATTTCTCACCAAGATCTTACCACAAAGATTGTAGACAAAGATCTGTGAACAGAATTTGACACACAGGCGTATTTTATTTGACATAAAGAGGTATTTCAAAAGATTTTTAAATCAGTGCTAATGTTTGAAAAAGAGGATATCGCACATTAAAAATGGAAATGTCTGGATTTTCTTGAAAAATTGAAAAATATATCTAAACTAGACCCATGTTTCCATATGGTGGGTAATAGCTACAGTTCCTACCCTCCCAACCTTGTCTCCAGACCCTAGTCTGAGTATCAATAGTCCATCCTCAAGCAGGCACAGTCTCTTTTTTTACATCACAGTCATGAATATTTTTCTCTGTGTAAGTATCTTTGACCACATGAGAAAATGAAGTCTGGACTGAAAGAACCACATGTCTCTTACCCCTGGGGCATTTTATTTATGACACCTACTTCAAAACGTTGGACACAACTGAGCGACTGAACTGACTGACTCCAAAACAAGACTGAATTTGTTACTGAACATGCATGCTTGCTCAGTCGCTTCAGTCATGTCTGACTCCTTGCAATCCCATGGACTGTACCCCGCCAGACTCCTCTGTCCATGGGATTCTCCAGGCAAGAATACTGGAGTGGGTTGCCACGCCCTCCTCCAGGGGATCTTCCAGACCCAGGCATTAAACCTGTGTCTCTTGCATCTCCTGCATTGGCAGGCAGACTCTTTACCACTAGCGCCCAATGGGAAGCTAGTTCTTTAACATTAGTGCCCACCTGGGAAGCCCAATATACTGAACAGAATCTTCCAAATCACTAGGTGTTTCCAAGTATTCAGATATTTGGCATCACACAGAAAAAGAAAACTCCCATGACAAAAATTTTTACTTTTCATGTCAGTCAGTGAATGTCTAAAATACAGGAAAGAAGGGAGGCAGCGGGCACAGGAAGGAAGAGAAAAAGGGAGAACACACAGAACATGACACAGAGAGAGAATAAGAAAACTCACAGGACAATGCAAGACTTTAATACAATGTAACAACACAGTGGGACTTCCCTGGTGGCTCAGTGGTAAAGAATGCCAATGCAAGAGATGCAGGAGATGTAGGTTCGATCCCTGCCTGGGTTGGGAAGATCCCCTGGAGAAGGAAATGGCAACCCACTCCAATATTTTTGCCTGGGAAATCCCATGGACAGAGAAGCCTGGCAGGCTACAGTCCACGAGGTCACAGAGAGTTGGACATGACTTCGCAACTAAACAACAACAACAGAGTCTTTAGAGATTAAACACCAATAGACAATGCAGTGATGTCTCTGACATTGTCCACATATTGATATGTATTCATTTCCATTTCTACATGTAGTTGCTGGCAGAGAAAATGTGGTCTGTGGTCTACAGATTTCAAGCTCCTGGAGGATGGGGTACGTTTTATCCCTGACCCACCTAATCCATTGATAGTATCTTTCAAAATCTCCCTAGACACAAGGCAGAAAGAAATGGTAATAACAACACCTTGTCTTTAGCTATGGTTCTCTGTGAAATCGTTGGAACATTCTTACAACAAAAATTGCATGTATTATTATGTCTCCATAAGGGAAGCAGACAAAAAGCTTTTATCTGCAATTCAGACACGATGAATAAAGGTGTTAAGCAACTGGTCCATGCTATGTTTCTGGCTAAATTTGAGGTGACTAATTATTTCGCTTTTCAGGTGGCTTTGGAAATCCTCCTCCTCTCTCCTAGCAGAGCGTTTCCATTGTCTTTCCCACTCCTGCCGCAGGGCTAATACGTCTGTGCCCATAGTCAGCTGCAAAGGTGTCATTAGCCTCTCCCCGGTCCATCAGCTCACCTCTCATCCAAAAAAGCTTCAGAATGGTTGGCTAGAAGTTTCCTATTTGACTTTTTTCTCTTCTTTTTTCTTATTTTTTTATGAGCTCTGGTTTTCCTGACCTAACTCTGAACATGGAAAATTCAACTGGAATCCAAAGATAACGGCTGATCCATTCAAGCATCCCTCTGTATTTGAGTCCATTTTGGGCACAAATCAGATTTTCAATAACCCTCAGACACAGGAAACCCTTGCTTCCCACTTAAACTATCAGTCCACCCATGCTTTCAGCTCAAGTGAGATAGGAGAGGTACTGAAATGGCAATCCTCTCCTTTTCAGTCAATCCATGTAAATAAAATTACAGTCATTTCTGTCACATTGTGAATAGAATAACCCTACAAGTTGAGGGTTGAATTTCAGACCCCACTCTGCCATAACTTGCTATTTGATACAGTGGAAATGGCACCGACAGTTCTGACACCGAGGTAGTTCCTTAACTTCTCTGACGTGTGTAAAATCTTGTTGGTGTTTAGTTGCGAAGTCATGCACAACTCTTTTGCAACCCCATATCAGGTAGTCTACCAGGCTCCTCTGTCCATGGGATTCTCCAGGCAAGAACACTGGAGCAGGTAGTCATGCCCTTCTCCAGGGGATCTTCCCAACCTAGGGATCGAACCTGCGTCTCCTGCATTGCAGGCAGATTCCTTACCACCGGGTCACCTGAGAAGCCCAAAATAAAGATAACACTATTTAATTCACATGATAGCTATGAGGATCAAATGGATTCACTTATAAAAAGAAATTAATGGGTAGTGTTCAATAATATTAGTCTCCTTTCCTACAAAATGAGGGAGTTGAATTTGGTCACCTGTACGTTCCTCTCTGGTGCTAACATTTTATGTTTTGTATTATTTTTCCCTAGGTTCTATAAATTGTATAGCAACCAAGTTCCCTCTCCTAGGCTCCAAGCTGCCCAGCCTCCCACCTGTAGACTCAAACCAGCACCAGGCTGGCAGACTCATGGCAGCCCACCCCAGTCCTCTTGCCTGGAGAATCCCATGGACGGAGGAGCCTGGCGGGCTGCAGTCCATGGGGTCGCAGAGAGTCGGACACGACTGAGCGACTGCACTTTCACTTTCCGAGACTCATGACAAACGCCCACACTGAACCCTTTTTTCAGAACTGAATTGCCCTGATTCCCTGCCTGTACCGTGCTCCTTGTGAGTTTGATGGCGCCGCCTCCCCGCCTGTCCTCTCAGGACGTGGAGCAACCTCCGGGCAGGTCAGCACTACCTGCGGTCGGGCCTCCCGGCACCGACCACCTGCCGGCTTGGACGCTCACTGCCTGCCTGCTGCCAGTTTGAGGGCCCTCGGCCTCCAGCCAGGACATCTGTCCCCAGACCACTGCCAGGCCTCCCAGCTCCCAGCCACCCGCCTCGCGGCGCTCGCTGGGTGGAAGCCAGCCCCGTCCTCTCCTGCCCGGCTGCGCTGGCCCTCCGTGGGCCCTGCACCACCAGCCGAAACCTGACCTAACGTGCATGTGAGCGCTGAATCAGCACAAGGATACGATGGCTCTTGTTATTTCTGAAACCAGTGCATTGTTTTCTATATTTGAATGAGCTGTCTTAACACCTGTATTTAGTCTATTTTGCAGCTCACTTTTTATTATCTAATTTCTTCGTCAACTGGCATTTCTCTGGAGGTAAAGCACATATTTAGGAAGGCTCACAGCACATAACTGTGTATCATCACATAGCAAACATTTCCAAGCAACCAGTTACCAGGTGAAGAAATAAAACACCACCCCCCCAGAGCTTCCCTGAAGCCACTTTCCAATCACTACTCTTTACTCCTCATCCAAGGCAACTTCTATCCTGACTTCTAAACCCACAGCTCCCTCTTGCCTTTTTTTTAAATTTTATAGAAGGGGAATAAGACATTATACATTCTCTTTAGTCTGCCTTTTTTACTCTATATTTATTAGATTAAGCCATGTTTAGTTTCGTGGCTGTGATTCATTTGTATTATTATTTTTAAAAGTCCATTGTATGAACCTACCGTTATTCATATATTCATTATACTCATGATGACTATTTGGGTGTTTTCATGGTTTGGGCTATAACTAATAATACTGCTTTGACTATACTTGGGCATGTCATTTACAGTACATATGCTTGTGTTGCTATTGGAAAAACACAGATTGAGTTATAGGGTACACATACCTCCAACTTTAGGACACAAATACCAAACTATCCTCAAAGCAGTTGAACTAATTTGCATGCCTCCCAATAGTGTGTGAGGATCCCTGTCACTCCACATCATCATTAATGCTTGATATTTTTTAACTGTTTTCAATTTTAATTTTCTGATAAGAGAGTAATATTATCTCATGGCTTAATTTCCAGAAACAAGAAGTATTCACTTTAATGTAGTCCAATTTATTATATTTCCCTTTTTAAGTGCTCATTTTGCTGTCCTGTTTAAGAAATCTTTCCTCATCTCAAGGTTATGAACATAGTTTCCTATAATATATTGCAGAGCTGCACTGTGCATTACCATAGTCACTAGGCACACATGGCTATTTAAATTTAAATTTATATCAACTAAAATTTTTAAGACATAAAAATTCAGTTTTTTGTTCATATTAGCAACATGTCAAGGGCTCAACAGGCACATGAGTCTAGTGGCTACTGTAAAGGACAGCATGGTTATAGAATATTTCTGACATCATGTAAAGTTCCACTGAATGTAAAGTTCTCTTCTAGAAGTTTTATTGACTATTACTTTACTTTTTTATATTTGTGCCTAGAACTCATCTGGAATGATTTCTGTGAGACCCAGGATATTGTTGTCCATGTGGTTAAACAACTGATTCAGCACATTGAGAAGACCGTTCATTCTCTGCTACACTGTAATAAAATTATTGTCATAAATAAAAATATTTATTTATTTATACATGTATTTTAGTATATGTATATACATATAGAAAGACAATATGCAAAAATAACATTTACATAAAAATATTTTACATATATTTATTTATGGCAACTCCTGAATAAAATGAGTCCTTCTGGCTTGCTCTTGGGCTTCCCTGGCAGCTCAGGCGGTAAAGAATCTGCCTGCAATGCAGGAGACCTGGGTTAGATCTTGTTCTTCAAAGGAGTCTTGACTACTTTTGGTCCCTAACATTTCCATATAAATTTTAAAGTCAGCTTGACACTTTTCACTAAAAAAATAATTGGAATTTTAATTGATATGCCATTGAATCTACAAATAAATTTGGAAAATGTTTTCATATTTATTATACTGAATCTTCTATCCATGAATATGGCACATCCATAGAAATATTTAGGTCTTCTTTAATTTCTCTCAGTAATATTTTATATCTTTATAAGAAGAGTTTTACACATCTCTTAGATTTACTCTGGAGTCCTTAATGCTTCCCTGGTGGACCAGTGGTAAAGAATCTGCTTGCCAATGCAGATGTGGACTCAATCCCTGGGTCAGGAAGATCCCCTGGAGAAGGAAATGGCAACTCACTCCAGTATTCTTGCCTGGGAAAGCCCACAGACAGAGGAGCCTGGTGGGATATATAGTCCATAAGATTGCAGAGTCAGAAATGACTTACTGACCAATCAATGGCAACACAGAGTCCTTAATACTATTTGATACTACTGGATTTTCTTATACTCTGTTACTGTTAAACAGAGATGTGGTCAATTTGAAAAACTTTGATGATGCACCTAGCAGCCATGGTAAACTTATTTTTTTAATTCTACACACATGATCATATGCAAATAATTCTTGTATCTTTTATTACTTTTTCATGACCTATCAAATTGGTTAAAGCTGTAGCACATGTATCTTTTGGGGGATCTCCGAGTGTGCCTTCAAGTTTTATGGCTCATTAGAAGGACTCACAGGATTCGGTATTTAGTCATACCAGCAAAGAAATACAAAGCAAATTCAACAAAGGCAAAAAGCACAGGGAGTAAAGTGTGGAGAAAGCCAAGAACAAGTTTCCAAGAGTCTTCTTCTAAGAGTCAGGGCATGCTGAATCCCTCCAGCCTTTAACTGTGACAACACAGAAGCAGTATTGTCCACCAGGGAGGCTCATTAGAGACTCGGTGCCCAGAGTTTATAATCCCGGGCTGGTCATGTAGGTGCCCTGCCTAGCACATAATAAATTTCCAGAGTCCCAGAGCAATCATGTTTCTTGTACAAACAGGTTAGGCCCAGTGTGGGGAATCAACCAGGGAATGGGGGGAATACTCCTGAAATCCAAGTTTCCAGACACCAAACCAAGAGCTAATGTTGCAAGCAGGCCTTTCTAAGGGTGGAGTCTCAGGCCTGCTAATGCTAGCTGTTTTGTACCATGGTTGAGCATGACCAATAACAGCTCTTTCTTCGTAAATGCTTCTCAGCATTTATTATTGTTTTGCAATCTTCAAAAAGCAAGCAGAAAGTATTCTCTCCTTTTTCTCTACCTGAAAGAGTTTGTGTAAGAGTGACATTCTTTCTTATTATTTCCTAGAATAAACTTGTGAAGTCACCTGAGATGTAGTTTAATTTGTGGGAAAGTTTTTAATTATGGATTCAATTAATAACTATGGGACTATTCAGACTTTGTTTCTCTTCTTATGTCGGTTTTAAATATGACTTGGTCTAGGATTTGGGGGATTATCATCATCAATTCAGTTACAGATGAATAAAATGAGTCAAATAATTTGCCCAACATTGCATAGCTAGTAAGTAGTGTCACTGGGATTTCAGTCTATAAATCTGACATCCAGAGGACATGTACAAAGCCATTTTGCTGCACTTATTTTTGCAGTGCATGACTGTTGGAGTATAGCTGCTTTCCAATGTTGCATTAGTTTCTACAGCACAGCAAAGTGAACTAGCTATACACAGATTCCGGTCAGCACAGAGCCTTGAGCAGAGGTCCCTGAGCCACAGTGTATTCCCCCCAGTTACCTGTTTTATACCCAGCACAACGGTGTCTGTGCGTCATCCTCATCGCCCAGTTCATCCCCCTCTTCCCGCTTGCCGTCCACGTGTGTGCTCTCAGTCTGCGCAGCTGTTTCATTCATTTAGTTCATCATCTGTTTCGGCTTCACTGTGTCTCCTGCGCTGTGCATGGGCTTTTCTCCAGTTGCAGCAAGGGGGTGCTGCTCTCTAGGTGAGGTACACGTGCTTCTCACTGCAGTGGCCTCTCTTGTTGAGTACGGCTCTAGGCGCACACACTTCAGTAGTCGCTGCACCTGTGCTCAATCGTTGCAGCTCAAGGGTCCTCGAGGGACTGGGCTTCTCTAGTTACGGCTCACAGACTCTGGAGCCTGGGCTCAACAACGGTGGTGCGCAGGCTTAATTGTCTAGCGGCTTGTGGAATCTTCCCGGACCAGGGATCAAACCCATGTCCCCTGCACTGACAGGCAGATTCTCAAGCCCTGGACCACCAGGGTGGTCCTACACAGCTTCTTAAAATCATGTTTTACCTAACAGAGCTTCATTAAAAAAAAAAAAAAAAACTAAGCTCTCCGTTTAAATAACCGTAATCTCCTAGGGACAGATGTCCTCTGGATAAATGCTGATGTTTTTGAACAAAAATTATGACATCGTTTTATATTCTAAAACCAGTACATTCCAAACTTAGCAGAGCATTTGAGATATTGTGTCAAAAATACATATTACAGGGCTCCATCACTAAACTACTAAATCAAAATCTCTCTAGGTAGAATCCAGGAATCTACGATTTTTAAAATCTCACAGTCATTAATAAATCCAGACAGACTTGCAAAGCATTGCTTCAGAGCTAATGAACCTAGAAGTCACGACTGCTTAGTTCATGGGCTCAGAGTATTAGCTAAAATAAATCTTGTTCCTGGTTCATGTCCGTGGACAATACATCTACCGCTGGCCAGCGTATCTCCCCAGATGCTTGCTGCTCTTCACACAGAAACCAAGTAAGACAGGAGAGTCCTCCACCCAAACTCACCTGCCGGGATGTCTTCCCCGTCTCAAAAAAGCACCAGCCCACCAAAGGCCTTGTCCCTACAACCTCAGTTACCTTCAACTGCCTCCTACAGGCCCTGTCTCAAACACAGTCACACTGGGTGGCTAGCACTTCAACATACGAAATGGGGCGGGAGGGTGACACGATTCAGTCCAAAACAGCTGTAGTAAAGACTGCATCAATTACACAAAAATAATAATGCTCGACTTGTATTTTGAGGTTATATATGTCAGTACCAAGTAACTTTATTTGCACTGTTCTTTTAAACCTCTGGTATCCTATTGTGTAACTACCATTACGGTCCGCTTTTCACGTGGAAGTAAAAGATCCCCCAAAAGACTAAATAATAAAAATCAGAACATGCTTTTCTCCTGATTAAAATTTTCCAGTGACTTTCTATTATTCTTAAAATTGGATCCAAATTCTTCACCATGGTGTACCTGAACTTCCTCAGCAGTTCTTTCTACAATATTCTTCTCACAGATCTCTGCATTTTTGGTTGCTTTGTGGTTCAAGTCTTAGAT